ATGTCGATATAGTTCAGTTTTCGAGATATCATGGTTTAAAATTATGAACTTTTGGTTTTTAATGAACACTTAAGTTGCAGCGGTATAATAATTTCTGCATTGGATTTACAGGGCTTTAGTGACAACCAAATAGCGTCAATGACATCTATCGGACCTAGATTAAAAACTAGTTACTTTGCACTATATCCGAATTTAAGTAAACATGTATGTTGGTTTTTGTTAGTTTTATTTTCAATTTTTGTTTAATTCATACCTTCAATTTTCGTTGTTATCACTAGACGATCTTGAAAATAATAACACTAATGAGCAAGGAATCGCTGCTTTTGATTAAAGAATTACTGCGAAAGCTATGATCGATTGATGGTTATGTTAGATACTTGAAGCATATCATTATATATAAGCAATTTCACAGAATTTGACGCTTCTTTAATGAATATAAAGCAGTAATTTATCAAGTTTTATTGATTGATTGATGTGATGAAAAAATACATAAAGGATAGAGTCCTGAAACTATTTACGAAAACTGACAGGCTTACCAACACAATGGTAACAGGCTCCTCGGGGAAATGTACAGATCTAATGTCAATTATTGCTTAGTCTGATGAAGTGATAAACAATAATTCAGTCAAGGCGTAGAGAGAGTTGATGAAGAAACCTCGCAGTTAATAGAGAGTAAAAGTGCTCAAATGCACTGGTTCAACTAGTCTCAACATAATAATAACTACCATAATGACTTTGTTTTCAATTGTAGGAAGGAATTAAAGGTGTTTGACAATTTTCACACATAGAAATTTTTTTCTAGACGTATTCTATTATAATAAATTTTGGGAATATCCGCTAAAGGAAAGTTAAATATAATTAAATTAATTTCAATACATTTACTCTACGATTCTCCAATTGATGGATCTCATTTCAGTAATAAGATTTCTCAAGTGTTTATCGGGATACTGTATTAAAATTATACTCATGATTTCATAAGCTCTTAAGAAATAAAACATTATATATTAAATAACTAAAATATAATTATTTATTCAGTGTGTGTAAAACTTTTTCAAAAATATACATGTACATAATATATATATATTTTTTTTATATAATGTTTACTTCATTTTGTCTTTTGACTTTTATGCATAAAATAAATTTTGTGTTTCTTAGACTAGTTTTAAATTTTTTGCTATAAAACTTATACTATAACTTTACTATAACTTTAAAGAATATTTGAAATTTTTTTTCAATATGAACCTTATTTTGTATGTATTGACTTTTTAAAAGTGAAATTAATTTAGCATTTTCTAAGTTAGATTCAAAATCCTTGTTGTAAAGCGTATCCTTAAAATATCACATCACATTCCGCGCCCCATCCCACCTGAATCATGGTAAACCAATCCATTAACGAAACTATATTCAGTCAATGAATCGTCGTTATCACTGTCAGTATCATAATCATGGTTATTAGACTCGTAATCAAAATAACCCATAACAACATAACCAGCAACTTCGTCCTGTAGTTTCCACAACTCTTCCTCATCTATACCCAAGAACGCCGCTTCGGACGGGACATCAAGAAATGGCAGTGGTTTTCGCAGTAAATGCACGAAAACGACTGCGGAAATAAAAATGTAAACTGCGAAAAAAATGCACAGATACATTTTTCTTAAACTGTTATAGACTAAAAAGAATTGCTTGTATTTAATTTAACGAGAGAAATTTAATTTAACGAGTACCTCAAATATTTAATTTAGCTTCACTCACTGATATTTCTTCAATATCCTCTTTAATCTCTTTTTAGAGGCTACTTATCCAAATATTTTGCCGACGGTACGAGAAATGATTGAAATTTGGAAATCATTCATTCGTAAATAAATTTTATTTTAAATAACGAAAAATATTCTTAACACTTTATTTAAAAAAAAAATTGAATAGAAACTGAATGCAATAAAATAATTTATTTATTTTTTTTTTTTTTGTTAAAAAAATTATATTATTATGACTAAATCTTAAGAATAATACAACACAGCAGAGGTTGTTGGCATATTATTTGACGGATCATTTTGGAACGCAATATAACAAAATGAGTCTCACTGAAACGATAGAATGACGGAATGTCAGTCAGTTTTACTTGGTTGCGAAGAAGAGCACTAGTCTTTTGTGACTGTATGGTTCTAAGCTGAACAGGAGTAGATAACTGAGCCGAGAATCCCTATTTTCCGACTGATGTTTTCAATATGAATATTGATCTATTTAAAGAGCGGAGTGTCTCCTACTACAAAGTTATTATATATAAATCCTTAGCATTAAATTTTAAGCCTCATTCTCCTATCCGCTTTTTTAGAAAACGTTTGAATTATTCTATCAATTATATAACAGTTTTAAAAGTTAATGTAATATATATGATGTATTATAAATAAATTGAGCTAACATATATTTATATAGATATTATTTTAATAAAGTGTGATAAATATTTAACAAAAATCACCGAAACAGTATACCAATTGGTCTTCCCTATTGGAACCACATAGTAATAAGTAATACTCAGGTAATACTCTTTATCACAACCCAATTTTAGTTTCCGTATTTATATATGTGCACCAATTGTCTAAGACTACACACATACCATGTTACTACAACTCTCAGACTATTCAGAGAGTCTGAGTTTAGTTAATTGTACACCTAACCAGAAAATATAATAGTAAGAACTATTAACCGATTTACTGAAGTTAAACGAATATTTGTTAGTGCCTAGCTGATAAATTTAGTATGACACTGCTTGGATTAGAGATTTCTTCTTGAGGAACTGACAGAATGAAGTTTGGTTGAGCTAATAAAACTTTGAAGGTTTCTTGTTGAAACTGAATGGTTTGTTATAAGAGAAATGAAAGGTGGTGAACATGAGAGATATTCCCTTAGTACTTGAATGCGCCGCATGTTTAAATTAGTTTCAAAACTTCCTTATTACTAGTTACCATGTTAATAATAATATTAAAAATATAGTTGATGTACTAGCATATAGTCGATTAGGAACCATATAACTTTTTTAATTATTAAGTAACAGAACTCCCATAACACTTTAATAAAAAAATTTTCTAGTATATAAGTTAATGATTATTTTAATAAAACAATTTTTTATAGATGTCGTTACTTAAATAGTCCAAAAGTATGTAAAGGCGCTTCAATGGAGAGCTACGAAAGCCAAACGGGTTACAGACAAACAAACTGATGTCCCATTTGGTAGCAATCAAACGATCAAATAATAGCGCATGATTCTGTCGTTAATGAAATTAAGCACAGGGGCGGATTTCAGAGGCCAAGGGTGTTAACTTATATTTCTCTCTGTACAATGCTTTAATTTTTATTAAAATTAAGGCAGCTTTAAAAAAATTTCGACTGGTGTTGTATTATGGGATAGGTGGAGTCAGCAACAATAGCCGATTTCGACACACTTACCCCTCTGATCATTTGTTATCGTGAAGACTGTGACTATGACATCGGATCATGGTGACATTTCTGGTCATTGCATGAACTGATCTCAGAACTGGCACATGATAATCCCTAAGTCTTAATTAAACTGTTTATAGGTAAAGCAAATTTCAAAATAGCATTCCAAAAAAGGTTTCGAAGAGCACACTTTTTCAACACTATTTATGACATGGGTCACATGACAGAACAGGCAAACAATCAACTTATTGTTAGAACATTTACTTACAGGTAGGTATATAGACCGTTTATCGGTTTTTTAACGGCTTTTCTAAAATCGTTTCTCACCCTTCATTGATTGATATATTCAACTTATTGATAGAACATTGTCTTACATGCAGATATGCACCCGAGGTGCTTTCTTCAACAATCTACTTTACCATAACTTAGTACTTTAGGGTCTCTCTTTTTCAAGTATCTGGTTGATATCACAAGTAGACAATTAAAAAATATTATATATTTTATTAATATAAGAAGGAAGTTTCAAAAATTTGAATTTTGGTCAAATATTCGAACGCCTAAAGAGTCCGCATAAATGAATTAAATGTGTTTTCTTCTGGCACACATGCTAATACTAATAGCAGCCACTTGGTATGTATCTTATCATCTCACCTTAATCCAAAATCGAGTTACCTATAAACGATTATCAGTACATTAGTACTTAAGAAGTCTATTATAAGTACCGCCTATGGCCATAAATCTCCACAAACTCTCACATAATTTATCTAAGATCTGCAGTGCAATATAATGTGAAATATTTAATTATATAAAAATAACAATTAATTTTAATATAATATTTTTATTTATTGTGTACGTTTCTATATAATATATAACTTCTTACTCATTTAAAATAAATTATATTGAAATTTACCACACCATATGCATCCCAAAGTCGATATCTATATAATATATGTATTATATTTATATGTTTTTTACATATTATTATTTATAATGATTTTAACAAAAATAACTTTGGTAATAAACGAATCTTTTGTGTTCGCTAAATATATATATAATATAATATTTCAATACTTTAAATTTTTCTAAAATGTGTTTTTCAATGATTTACTGTGCTTAAGATATATTTTATCTGAAAGGGCAAGCCCTTCTCTAATTTTTTGTTTGTTTGTTTAATTTGCATTTTAAATGCTCGATATTATATATATTTTTTAAAATACAAAAAGCAATATAGCTTAAAGAGAAAAACATATATATAATTTTTTTTTTTAAAACAGAACTTTTATTTAGATATCATTTTTGCATCTTTTATAATGTACGTATTGAATAAATTTATATTAATATTAATTTTTGAACTAAACGTATATATATATATATATAAATTGTGAATTTTTTAATAATGTAATTTTGATTTGTATACTTGAGATATCTTTTGAAAATTTTACAAAAAACATTTACATATATATATATATGTATATATATATTGAGTCTCAAATAGCAATATAATTGATTTTTAAATATATTTAAAGATATTTATTAAGGATTTAATGTTTTTGTTATGTTTGAAATGTCAATTTCCTAAATTAAAATTAATAATTGAATAAATTTGCAGTTACTTAAACAATACATTTACATACATAGAAATTTTTTTGTGTATTTTTTTTTTTTTTTTGTTTTTATATTCCATAATATATTTTTATTTTTGTATAATTATAATATAATTTTTCCTTAAAATATGCTTTGCTATGTCTTCAGTTTGGTTTTCATTTCAATAGTTTTGTAGGTTTTTTTCTTTTGTAAAATAATTCATAGTTTTAGAAGAAATTTACTTCTTAAAGCATGAGATTGGGTTGAAGTAGCATTGCCTGTAACGCACCTGCCGCTTTGACTCTGGAACACGGAAAAGTTCATTCATGTTGTTCCAGGTGGGAGAACGAAGGTAGGCGCTAAATTGAAATATAAAGTCAATTTTTAGTTATTTATCTTTTCTTTAAGTATAAAATACTTACTTTGGTCGATATTTAGCAAAGAGCATTTGCAAGCGATCCATAGGTACGTTGGAGTAAAGCGATTCAGCTGGTAGGTCATAATAAGCGCCACGAATGTCATCAACATCGGATTCAATATTATCTAAGTCCTAGATGAACAGTGAATTATATTTTTATGAATACAAAATTTTTTTTTTTTTTCAATTATGTTTATATATATTTTTTTCTTTTATGACCAACTAAAACTAACCTGGTTATTATCTCCTAGAGAGTTTTGTGGTCGCCCTTCCGTAATCGCAAAGACAATTGAGAAGGCAATTGCCAAGCACAACATATTTTGCAATAATTTCATCATTCTGATATTGTTTTGTCTTGAAATGTGAACAGTTCTGGAAAGAAAAAAAAAACAATATATATATACGGTTTTAGTATTATATATCATTTGATAGTTCGACCAATTTTCAATAAATTCTATTGATTATTTCTATAATCAGTCTTTCAACAATCAAAAAATTTAATTTAAATCTTTTATATAATGTAAGTTCTTTCATTTGAGTGAAATGATTCCAAAAATATCGAAATCTAACATTTTTATAAATTTCAATTGGATTAAACTGGATTACAAGACACATGGTATTTATCAAAGATTTAAAAAATTTCACTTCAAAGGAAATCCTTTGTTTTTTAAAATATTGTTAACTAGATATAAGAATACTAATCTAAGATTTTTAAAACTTGTTAAATTTAGACCACCTTATTATTATTGCTTGATTCTAAAAATATTGACTCTTAGATACAATATATTTATATACGATTTTTATATATAAAACAATTAAAAATAATTATAATTAATTAATTCAATTATTCTACAGCTGGTTTATGATTTCATTCTAATATAAACACAGCAAGTGAGTTTGTTTATAAACTTTCATAGCAAATTAACAAAACTACAGAAAAAATTTCTAATATACAAATTAAGTACGGCTTTGGGGCAGTTGCCTAAGGAACGCTGACTCGAAGTTTCAAATTTGGCAGGGCACGAGTTCAGTCTCACTGGTACTTGCAGTCTCAGAAAATTATTTACAAATAATTAAGTACAGGAACTATTTCCAAGACCACTGATAATGGGTATTGGGCAATACTCAACCAATACAGCTCTATGGTCAGCTAAAAATTAAAATAATATAAAAATTAATTTTTGTTTTTGTAGTTCATTATTTTTCGAAACCTTTTTATAAATTTCTAAATCAAATTAAATGTGGACTTGTAAAAATAATTTTCACTACTTCATACTTCACTACTTTATAATATTTGACTATAAAAATAGCGATTTCAAGATACAAGAAACTTGTAAAAGATTTTTAAAAATTTCAATACGAATTTAATAATTAATTTCTGTTCCTTTTATCTTAAAATCCCAGCCAAGATAATAGATACTTATCGAAGATTTCTATAAATTTCAATTGAACCCTTCATCGAATTAATATTACTTAAAGTTAATTCAGTTTATTTCTTAATATAAAATTAGGTATTTTATAAATTACCTAATGAAAATTTTTAAAAATTTCAATTCGGTTTTAATCTTAAAATTCTATTGGGGAAGCACATATCTTTGCTTTGATTTTTACAAACTCAAAAGAATTAGTATTCTTTATTTTTTTTCTTTTTTATTATAAATCAAACAATTAAACCAATATATAAGCAATAGGAACACGTTCTATTTTAGCATAAAATAATTACTCCAAATTGCAGAGTTCCATTAAGCAATCCATTCAACAATCGCCGACTTCTCACAGTGGGCAACCTTCAAGTCAGTAAATTTAGTGTGATTTGGAAGAAAATTTTAATTAAGGAAAATTGTGTTAATATTTGTACGTTCTGTGGTCATAAAACTGATTAATAATCTTTTGTTTTACTTTATCAATTTAATTACAAATAAAACAAATCGAAGGCCAAAAAATTAGCAATCACAGAAAATTTGTATGAGATTGATTCTCATGCCAGAATAGGAGGAAAGGAAAGAAATAGTAGAGTTTGTGAAAGAAATTAATTTGATTTCGTTTTGCTAATAAAATGTTAGAACAAACAAAAAAAAAATAAAAACAATTTCACTCTCTTAATTACCCTTGAAACTTTAATCTTGTGATTTAACCAAAGCTAAGCGTTTCTTTGCAAAAATTTATGGATGAAACTAAAAAGCTGAAGTAGATACATTCACGCATTGATGTATCTCTTAATAATGTATCTTTATCTTGCTCGTTTTCTTTCTACTCATTATGAATGCAATTATTTGTATGCCGTACTTCGCAATTAGTATGCAGTAGAGTTTAGTTAAACTTATGTCCTCTTGTTAAAGGATACGTTAAGAAATGCTTAATATACTTAGCATAACTGACTTCCATCAGCATTTAAAATACAAATTATTTACTTAAAATGTAACTGAAACTGGTTTCATAATATATTTTGTTATTATATCATTACCCTTTACAGAACTCCACTATATCACCGATCCAAATTTAATCAATTACTTGTCAAAGACTCTTATAGAAAGTTCTTGAAGAATAATCGAAAGTACAACACTTTTTATTTACTCCTCTACTACTCCACTTTATTCTAACTAGTTTTAAAGATTAAATTTTTTAATATAATAGAATACATTTATTTACTAAATAGAAAATGTGACTCAAGTTATCTCTCACAATCGAGCACTCTCGAATTTTATACTCTGAAAGTGTTTTTTAGGTACTTCCAATATAGGTTATTACTTGTCATTGCCATTTAATAAAGTGATAAAATAGTTCTGAAAATGTTGTGCTATATAGCAATTTTGTTACACTACAATGTATATAGTTTTAAGAACGTAAGTCTTTTCTTACTTTGGACAAGTTACAACTGGAATCAATAATTTATATAAAGAATTTCATAGAATGTATATACACAGAACTCTATCAAGTTAAATAAAAATTATAATATATAATGCCTATGGACCTATGCTGACATAGAAATACTGACAAAGGAAGAAGAAGTGGAAGACGAACAATTATCTAAGTTTAGACTCATAAAGATTAGTGCACACGTACTCATTAAGATTAGCGAAGAAAATACCGTTAAAGTACAAAGGGCAATATTTTAAAGATTGGTAATGTTAATGATGTGTATGGGCGGTTTAGAAACTCTGATCTAAAAGTTCGTATTCTTAAAAGGAATAATAAAAAATTAGTCATAAAAAAAAAATTTAATTATGTTTTCTTTCTTTTATACGTAAATGGATATATTATATATTAAGATTATATTATGTATTAAGATAAGATGTAATATATATAATTATATAAGATATAATATATATAATTATATAAGATATAATATATATAATTATATAATAAAGAGCTTTTAAAGAGGTTTTCCGAAAAGTAGTGAACTACAACAACAAAAATTCTTTTTATATTATTTTAAATAATTGAATTTTTGGCTGACCATACAGTTCTTTCGAGTATTGCCAAATACCCAGTATCAGTGGTCTTGGAATTATTTCTTATATTTAATTATTCGTAAATAATTTTTGAGACTGCAAGTACCAGGGATTGAACTCGTGCCCTGCCAAATTTGAATCTCAGAGTCAGCGCGCCTTAACCAACTGACCCAAAGCCGTACTTGACTTGTGTGTTCGCACTTTTTTCTGAAGTTTCATTTGCTGTGTTTATATTAGAACGAAATCATAAACCAGCTGTAGAATAATTGAATTAATTAATTATATTTTTTAATTTTAATTGTTAAGTTTCAATACTATTCTGTTTGTGGAGGCATTATCTGTTGCATGATTTATATATTCTTTCTTATGTATAGAACCTAATCTAGGAACGTTATAGTGAGAAAGCCATGCGAATGTTACTCCACGAATCACACAGGTGACTATATTATAATAAATATAATATAATGTGAAAGAAATTTTAGTTATTAGTAGCTAACTTAAAAGATGTGCTTTTATATTAATTGCCAATCTACAGATATAGTTTGAGATATAACAATTTATTTTGTTTTTTAATTGACGCATTCATCCATGTACGCAATTTTATTTTACAAATACGACTGACGAGTCAGTCCAACCAGGAGGAACTAAACACTTAACCGGAATGTTTCCACTGTGGTCAGCTATAATCCTTCATGTTACGACTTCAATAAAAAATGGTTTTTACATTTTTCCGCATTTTACACTGACATAACTTAAACATTACATAAACACAAACAATTCTACGCGTTGCAAAAACAAAACAAAAAAATAAAAAAAGTTGGTGAAAAAAAAAATCCTTAAGCTCAAAGCACACGCAATGTTAATGTTTTTTTTTGTTTTGCTTTTTTTATTTTAAGCGCGAGCCAGTAGAGTATGTGTGCATGTATAAAACTCACTCGACTTATGCATGTGTGGGTGATATCAAAAAAGTCAATTAAGAGAACATGCTTCAGTCCAGCAAAAACTGGATTCTCGACTGTCGATTTATGTTTGATCACACAAACACACGTTATAGCACACGTTATATGGATGCGTGTGTGTGGTGTGTGTAAATGAATACACTACACATATGTTCGGTTATTCGGTTATTCTTTGTGACCATATTTTACGCAACTAAATTATTTACTCGATGCGCTACCCGCTACCTGTTACCTGCTACCTACTGCATGCTGCCTGCTGCATTCGAAATGTGAAGTGTAGGGCTTTTGCGTAATGGCACACTTCAAGAATTTTGTTGCATTTTCAAAATAAAAACGTGACGCTGCAATCATAAATCCTTGTTACAATTGAATTAAAACTAGTATAAAAGGAATAACAATTTTATTTAAAATGCTGTTATACACAGAATTCAACATTTAAAAGGTAAAAGTGGCTGGACGTTGTTGCATGGATGTTTTGCACTTCCGACAACCAATAACTTGCTGCCATTGTGGCACTCACTCAATAACACGAGCTCCTTACGTAGATACGAGCGTTAAGAAAATGGATTAAAAGTTTAATTGAATTTTACAAATAAAAAAAATATGAACAGAAAACAATAAATTATGAAAACAAATAAAAACAAAAACGTGAACGTATGGTAAAAACAGAACAGAAAAATGATTTCGAAAGAGAAATATTGAGAAGGAAATAAATACAAAATGAAGCATTCACTTAACATATAAAACTGTTCTCAAGCAGGCCTCTGTTCTCGGCAATACTTTAGAGTGTGTGCGTGCCGCACATACGACATTTTTTTTGATTTTTCTTTTTATATTTGTTTCTGTAAGAACTTTATTTATTTTATATATATATGCATTCATAATTTATTGTATTATTGTATATAGTATATATAATTTTAATTAAACTTTTAGTTTTACACATTGATTCGTTTAATTGCTT